AGAGGTACCTACGGTTGAGACAGCCGAAAGTGTGGTTGGAAATACCATACTGGTCTGCCTTGGAGGTCTGCTGTAACTGGCGCCAAAATCAGCCAGGATTGTAGTTGAGATTGCACGATATCTGTCTACTAAGACAGACTGGACAAAAATCAGTACATTTACAGTACTTTTTCAGTACTATCCCAAGAAATTCAGTACCTTCTTAGCGAGAAAATTCAGTACCTACTTTTTCACTACCTCAAATATTGACGAAATTCGAAAAATTTCAAAAATTCGAATTTCTCGCTCAAATTGTGACAAAAATTACAAAAAGTGAAACAAATTCCGTATCTTCTTGCGGAATTTCCGCACTTTTTTAGTACTTCTGGACCGCCTTTAAAATATCAGTACTATTTCCGGACTTGTTGACATTCTGAATTGTGATTCTTTTTTTTATTTCAGTGAGCTGATGGCGAATCCTCCGCCCGTGCGCAATTATTAATAATACCTGAATCTTCCTTGGCAAAACCTTGTAACTGCTCGAAGCCAAGAGGAAGATGCTGATGAGGCCCAGTAAATTCATCATGAAAAGCGACAGATAGGAGCGAGAGGAATCTCTCGAGCGCAAACAATAATGCAGCGAAAAAGGTCAATGGAGGAGCGGCGCACAGTGAAAAATTAAACCGATTCGGAAGGACAAAATTCAACAACCACAACGATATCGAACAGATTTAATTCTAGCTTGGGCAAAGTTAACATTGTTAGATTGTATCGTTCGAGTCGAGTATTTTCCGACTGCAAACTAAAACGGTAGTGCTGGGCGCTACCCTGCGGGGCTGGACCCTGAGGCTGTAGGGGTCACGATCAGCACTACTGCCTTTAGTCTTCAGTTGGCGCTATTTTACCTTAAGTGTTGGGCTCAGTGCTAAGTTAAGTCGTTTTTTCTGTGCAGAAAACGCTCAACTTGCGCACAGCTGGAGTTATAAAAAAAAAAATTTTCCCAACTTTAAGTTGAACGTAGAAGTTAGGTTCCGCAGCTTGCGGCCGACTGTAGACCAATAAGATACGGACTTGAGACTATGAATTTGATGGGAACTAAACAACGGCTATTGTCGGGGTGATCCGGTCGGATCTCACACTGTGCGCGATCGTGTCAAGAACAGGTGGGTCGGGCCGAACATCGATTCGTCTTGGGAGTTGAGTTCCTCACCTGAGACTGACTGTCACTCTGATTGAGAGCTGATAATACGCATCGACAGCGCGTGGCATTGGAGCGCGTTCACGAAACTTGCCGCTCACCTGCCGCGGTCATTCCGCACGCGCGGGACATCATCACACAGCAATATGCATTGCAACAATGCTCGTCGCCGTCCAAGAAAGATTATGGTCGAGAAGAGTCGTGGGGAATCCTCTGGTTTTTGTCAGTTTTCCGATATTTCCCGCAAATAATTGAGAATTTGGTGGGTGGAGGGTAATGGATACTGGAAAACAATTTTTTTGATCCACAGTCCAGAATCTTTAAAAAGTAAAAAAAAAAAAACTTAAAAAAGTAATAAACACTCTTAATACAGTCGAATTTTTGCTTGAATTGAGAGCCAAACCTCTTAATTAAAGCGGATTTCCTTTTCATTCGAGCGAAAATCCGATTGAACCGAAAGTATTCTTTCTATCAATTTTTTCAACAGCTTGGGTAAAAATTCTTAAAAAATTTGCTAGGAAGGAATACTCTTGATTCAATCGGATTTTTGCTTGAATAAAAAGGAAATCCGCTTTAATTAAGAGACTTGACTCTCGATTTAAGCAAAAATCCGACTGAATCAAGACTATTTTTTCTGGTCAAATTGTTAAAGAGTCTGAACTCTGGATCCAAGAGACTTTTTTCCAGAGGACTGTTCCAAACAAAATTAAATAACGCGGTTTTTTTTCGTATCAAATTGGAAAATTATGCCAGAGGTCTGGATTTTGATACCAGCACTCTTAAAAGTTTGTAAATTTTGAAAAAAAAAGTGGTATCCTTAAAAATGGCGGATGTTAGATATCCGCTATTTATACAGACACGGCTCCATAAATAAATGCTTAGTTGAGTTCTGAAAGAGAATTCTCGGATACTTGTGGAACAATTTTAGAAATCTACGAACTGATGGGATGATGCATCTTGAAGGAAGGACCTGACCTTACCTAGAGTACCTGTATAGGGAGAGTAGCGACAGATCTGAAACTCCGAAAGTCCATCAGGCCTTCACCGATGCCTCCGCGAATAAAGTTAGGGCCCAAAAGGGCAGCCAACCTATGAATTTCGAATGTCCAGAGCGATTTACAAATAAAATTGTTACGAGCCGTCGTTTAGAAAGCATGTATTTGGCTTACTTTTTGCATAAATTTACTAATTTTTGCGAAAGAACGCTCATTTATGTACATTCTTAGCCATCTTGGTTAGAATTGAAATCTGTAGGCTGGCAGTGAAATTTTGTGTGTTAGAAGTTGCTCAGAAGGGTGGCTGCACTTTTGGGCCCTAAGCCCTCCATGAACCGATCTGTCGCTACTCTCCCTATACAGGTACTCTAACCTTACCCGTGGATTCACCGAGTATAATAATGCAGGCACCATAAAAAATCGGCACAAATCGACACATGCGCATTCAATGCTGACCTTAGGCAAGCATCCATCATATTTTCGAGGTCTCCTCCTGGACTATCCGTGATCAAAGAATTTGAACAACTGTTGGCGCACGTTTCAGCCTCGAAATATTCGGTCAACTGTTCCGTTCTACGTTTGCAACATGAGTCCAGACCACTGATTACCGAGAGTTGATCAATTAATAGATTATGTTTCTTGAATCCCAAATTCCCAACCTCAAAATTATCACCGACGATATCAAATTAAATCGCTTGAAACCTGTCTTGGCCGCTGTAGAGCACCATGAATTTGTTTCTCATATGCACATTGGTGATTCAGAGCTATCAAATTCTGCTAGGGTTTCTCCGTTGTATGCAGCTTTATCAATGGCTACGAGATGCTGAAGTAAAAATCGAGGTTTGCAGGTAAATTTTCGAAGATCTCGAGTCTGCTTCGGAAGGGGGCAGAAAATGTCTTCTCATTCCCGAGGTTTTCAAGCTATTCAATCTAAAAGTATTGGACTCAACTGTGAATCATTGTTCGTATTTTCCTTCCGAAAATCCACTAAAAATAGAGAAGAAAATGCTCCTGGCCGCTAATTCGGCGCAACTATTGTCAATGAATATTTTAGGTCTTGGCATGAAATTTGAAGACGGATCAAATAGAGATTAGGATCTGCTGATAGTCGAAACCTAGAAATACTGAAAATCAAAATCTCCAAATCTCTAAATACAAGTAAGTGAAAAACTAAAAAAAGAAACGACGATAGAGAGCTTAAGAAAATGATTATGCTATTCGACTGTCCCAAAATGAGAGAAATTGTTTAAATTATGACTAATAATCTCGACACTTTCACGAATTATACTCCGTGTTATGAACATGTTTTACCTCCAGTTTGTAACATTTACCCATTTGTTACTTGAGCCTTATTTAATTTAAACTCGGTTTTTTTCATGATATATGATATCCGCGGGGCAGCTTCATAGCATTGGACCATGGAAATATACTTGAGTATCGACTAAATACAAATAGGAAACACCCTTAACTCGTTGATTATTTTTATTATCTGTTTCATTATTATTAATAACACGCGGGACTGGTTGATTCTTGGATTGGTGTTTAAAGATAAGACATGTTGCCAAGATTTTGTTAGAGGGAGGGGGGCACTCTTACTTCCCTATTTTTCCTACTTTTCTTTCCCTTTTTGTCATTAAAAGGGGGATGAGCCTGATTGATTTTCGCGGCATGATGACACATTGAATATTGTGAGTAAAGAGATAAGGTTAATTTTATTCGACATGGCAAGGTAGCAAGGTCTTCTACAGTACTACTCTGGTTTTTTTTCGTGTCGCGGCGAAAACAGTCTCGCCTGCTTCGAGCAAAGAGGAATTTGCTGACAAGAAAAATGGCGCTGCACTATGCGACAATACCAGACAAATTACTTATTTTCTCACTTTTTAACCGAGCTTCCTAAACCTTCGGGCAACGTTCCTGTTTGAGAATGTTGCCAAAAAAGTTTCGACCCGTGGGCTTTCTTGAAACCAAGTAAGTTACTAATTTGTCGAACACTTATTCTACATTGGGTCTTGATCGGCGATTCTTTGGACCATTTCGAACATCGTTCAATGTTTCCTCTCGATGATAAACTGTGCCCCGGTATTTTACTTCCTCTTTGCGCGGTGCACACGATTGGTCACGAGATTCTAAAACAATCAAGGAGAAAAGACAGACCTATTCCAATGAAAGCCTGAAATCACGCGAATCAGTTAATTGATCAGCATTGAAAATGTAAATCACACTCGACGGGTTGCGTAACGATGATTACTGAGTTTTTCCTCATCTTAAGTTTTATCACACTGCGCGACATCCAAACTCCAATATTTTCCATAAAAAAATAATAAATTAATGCATATAAAGCGAACGCGGGCCAACCACGTCATGACTAATTACTTAATAAAATCCAGTTAGTTTTAAAATCCATGGCTCTGGGTCTTGTTACCCGCGGCTCATCCTCTTACAGTTTTATCGCTTTGTTACACACTTTAAAATAATAAGAGGTACAGATATAAATAAATAGACTGTCCAGTGATAGGTGATACTAGCACGACGGTTACCTATAGATATTCGAATTCAAATTCTGTTAATTGGTATACAGTAACCATGGTAAGTTAGGCTAGGTACAAGTCACAATGGGCACAATGAAGATTGAAAGATCAGTTTGTTAATAGACTAGTAAGGCTATCAAAAATTTTCGTAAGTTTTATCAAATCGTCTTAGGTATTAACAGATATTTCGGAAGAACCAACACGAAAACTGATCGGATGGATCTGGGGAGGGTGCGATGTGCCTAGACCCAACCACGAGGCCCCAAAACTGAATGCGAAGGGTTAAAAAGGCGAACTTACGGAAAACAGGAGTATAATCCAAGACGAAAAAGGCACAGACACAACACTCGCGAAAAGCGCGGGGCCGGAGACGCGACTGGGACTGGAGCGGAGACAGGATCGGGGAACGGGGAACGGGAAACTGTGGATGCTGGGACTAGGCTCGGCGCAGATGAGCACTCATAATCCTTAATTACTCGCGGCTGCGGCGGTTGCACTGTGCACTGTGCACTCGCACTGGGTCCGGGACGGGGGACCCTGGCTCGGCGCGAGATAGGAGATAGGAGATAGCGGGCGCACGGGGTGATAGCGATAGCAGGGGCCGCCACGGCACGGTGACGTCAGAGGACGGGCGCGCGGACAGAGAGTGTGGTCGTCGGCCGAAGACTCAACGTCGACTGATTTACTCATTGTGATTGCACTCGGCTTCGCCGCTGCCCCACGGCGCCGTAGCCGACTTCACGCCGAAAACCGCAATTTCTAGCCCCCGCACTATGACACCTATTCAGGATGCCCCGGTGTTGAATAGTCAAAGACTCCAAAAGCCTCTGCTATGGATTCAATTAAGAATTTTCTAATCCTTACGCCCCC